GCGGGACAGAGGTTGGGCAGACTTGGACAAAAGGAAAAAAGGGGGTGTTGCGATCTATGTGAGAGACAGTCTTAAAGTCTTGGATGTCTATCGGTCCAACTTATATGAATTTATTGCTTTAACAGTGCAGTTGCCGTCCGATCACATTATGCTAATTTGCGGCCTGTATAATCCTCCCAAGCATAGCTACCGGGATCTCGACTTGATTAATTATATAATATCCTTTGTGGACATTGTGTTGAACAAACACCCAGAAGCGGCTATTGTCTGTGGTGGCGATGTAAATCGTTTGGATATGCAAGAATTTAAGGCTTTGTCTGGCTGGGATTTCGTGGTTGATTTTCCCACGCGGGGTAACGCGTGCTTGGATAGCTGTATGACCAACCGAGCGGATCTGTTCGGTCAAGCATATTCCATACATATGCTTATTAAGACAGACCATGAGGGCTTTGTTTTACCGGGCGGGATTAAAGCTTAAACCTGCGCCGCAAAGTTCTCGTCTTGGGACTGTAGGGAACATCGGAAAAAGTCATTTTATATGGCACTCACTGCCCTGGACTGGAGTGACGTCCTCAATGAGGTGGACATAAACAAGGCGGTCGAGGTGCTTGAGGTAAAGATTCGTGCAGTGATGAATAAGTTTATGCACTTAAAAAATCTGTACGCATGTCATCGCGTGACCCAGTTTGGATGTCCCCATTAGTCAAGTGTATGCTGAGGACTAAGTCCCATATATCTTTAAAGAATAAGGAACGCCTGTCTTTATTTAATAAGCGCATTTCTGAGCTGATAACCGAGAACAGAAGAAAACTGGCTGCCATTGGTAGCGGTGAGTGGTGGAAGGGCGTGGACGCCCTATCGCAGCGTCGCAGGTCATCGTTGATAAATTTGGACAAGAACTCTCTAGTTCGTCTGAACGACTACTTCGCCAACCTGTGCTATGATGACACTTACGTTAGACCTAGTGATATGGATATCCCGAACAGTGTAAAGCCCCGAAAATATCTGAGCGGTGTGTCTGGAATACCTTAGTTCATGTAAAAGAAAACCGCAACGGGACCAGACGACCTCCCGTACTGGATCTGGAAAGACTGTGCTGAGCTACTCACACCAATCGTCACTCACGTTTGGAATCTGTCGCTGTCTACTCATACATGGCCAGACTCCTGGAAAAGGGCAAATGTTAACCCTCTCCCCAAAGTGAACATGCCTATAGAGGACTCGGACTACCGTGGTATTAATGTTACTCCCGTTATTGCCCGGTTGTTTGAGAAGGTCGTGTATCGTACACAAGCACAGTCAGTCATTGAGAGGAACCTGAGCCACACCCAATTTGCATATAGACAGGCGGGTAGTTGCACAAATGCCTTGCTCGCTATCCAGCACCAGACATACAAGTATTTAGATAGTAGTGACTATAGCGCAGTGCGAATTTTTACCATGGACTTCAGTAAGGCTTTCGATTTTGTGAACCATGCTATTTTGTCTGCCAAACTGAAACAGCTACCTCTAAATCCGTACATTATCAATTGGTATCATAGTTTCCTCTATGCAAGACAACAGCGTGTTGTTAGTTATAATTTTTAGGACAGTGGAAACTTGTCAATAGAGGAACCACACAAGGTAGTGTAAGCGGACCGTATCTTTTTAATATATTTTTGAACGATTTGGAGATTTTTTTTAATGGTTGCCCTGTGCTTTTTAAATATGCCGATGATTCCACTATTCTTTCGCCTATCACTAGGAATAGTGACCCGTCTGCCGACTTAGTGGGACAGTTCTTAACATGGTGTAAAGACAATAGAATGGTCTGCAACCCTTGCAAATGTAAAGAGCTGGTTGTTAGAAAGAAAAATCATAATGTACTCTACTCTCCAATTAATAATATTCCCCAATGTAATAGCTTCGTTTTATTGGGAGTAACTTTACAGAGTGATGGAAAATTTGATGAGCATGTAAGAACTAAGCTTGTCAAAGCAAACAAGTGTTTACACGTCCTACGAACATTGAGAAAGGAACATTACTCTCAGGCAGAGATTGATCACCTTTTTATATCGATTGTTTTGGCTAATTTTAGCTATGCACTTTCAGTCTATGGGGCATCTGAGTCCGATCTTACGGTTGTACAAAAATTTTTAGACCGATGTCATGAACGCGGTTTTATCTCATTTCCAGTTTTTATCAAGAACCTTTTAAACAAACAAGACAGAAACATTTTGAAGAAACTAAAATCAACGGATTGCCACCCCCTGAAAGATATCATTCCTGTCCAAAAGACATATCTACACAATCTCAGGAAAAAAGGCTGCGCGCGCCCGAAAATTAATACACAGCGCTTTATGAACACATTTGTAAATAGGTTGATATTTAAGCTCCATTTATTGTGATGATATACTTTTTAATTCATAATATGTATGTAGATTTCTGTAGTTTTTTCAATTCATTGTAACATAAGATATGTAGTTTTATCTTATGATGGAATAAAGAAAGACATTATATATACAAGTGCGTAAAAGGCTGCTGAAACTGCTAGCTTGCTTGCATCAGCAAAACCATGAAGGTCAATTCTTCTCACATCTTTACTCACAACACTGTGCGGAACATTTATTGATGGACACTTCTCCATTCCCTTCAGCCAGTTGTTCCAAGATCTTTGTATCTCGCCTGGTACCACTTGGTCCCACCTCAGCTTCCTTAAGCAAACCTCACTGTACAGGATCCTTCCCGTGATGGTCACTGGTGCTGCAAGTCCCAACAAGTCATAAACACCATTAATGGCTGATAACATCTTTCTCTTGGTATGGGGACCGTCACTCATTGTTCCAAATGGCTTTAGGAAACCAACTTAAATTGTATCCTCTGCCTTGTTCCAAGGGACTCCAAGTATCTTTGTTTCTTGGGAATGGGTTCCAACCACTAACTTTGCATAGGTCAAGCTTGCTTGTGATAGTAGGGTTTCATCATCAATTCGCTGTGGTTCTTTTAACTCTGGAATGTCGCTGTGCCACTTGTGCAGGTGAAACCCTCCTTCTTCCATTATTCACGTGGCCTCCTTTTTTAAATTGATCAGCTCTTCTACACAATCACCACCTGATTGAACATCGTCCACATAGGTGTTTTTTAGCAACTCATCAGCAGTACTGGGGTACTTATCAGCATACTGGCTCACATGTTTTTGAAGTGTGGCCCCAAGAATATATGAACTTGGTCCTGACCCAAAAATCACTCTGGTGAAACAATACTGCCTCACCATTCTTGAGTCGAGGTTCTCATACCATAGAAGGCGAAAGGCATCTCTATCTCTTAGGTCCACTTTAATTTGAAGAAAGGCCTTTTGAATATCTCCGGTGATACACAACATCTTCATGCGACTTTGAAGGAGGTCAAATAACATGGGTTGTAAAGGGGGTCCTACTTTCAAACAGTCGTTCAAGGAAGGTACTTGACAATGTGTCTTTGCTGAACAATCATAAACTATCCTCATCTTTGTTGAGTCGGCCTGGCCTCGGATCACTGGTTGATGAGGAATATAATGGATGACCTCCCCCAAAGGTGTTTCGGGCACCTCTTCCGAACTTCCTTCTGCTAATTGTTCTGTCACAACCATATGGTACTCTTCAAGTCGCTGCATCCTCTCTAGTCTCTGTGTTGTACTTCTTAGCCTTCCAATAGTCAGTTGTTTGTTTGAGGGCAGAGGGGGGTGATCTGGTTTCCATGACAACCTTGTTGAATATGTTCCATCATCCAAACATTCTTCAAATCTTTGAATTCGTCATGGAACGACTGCTGCACGTCAGCTTTATCAGTCAGTCCTAGGATCTCCTGCAAACACATCTGCTCGAATTCACCTTGGCTTGAATTTAGAAGAAACCCTTCTCGGTCTCCATACTTAACGGCATTAACTTTCCTGTGAACACCCAACCCAGCATGGTGTACTCTGCACCAGGATCAACGTCTGGATCTACTCCTAGGACAGCTGGTTCAGTTGTTTTGATGCGCTGGATATTTGCAGCAGCAAGGATCACATGGACTGGCAAGTTATCTTCCATTACTATTTCTTTACTGAAGTGTAGTCTCCTTATGCGGTTGTTGGCCTCCCTTAACCCCGAGATTCTTGGGTTAGGGAGGTGAGTTAACACTAGTTTCTCTGCATTTATGCAACGTAGCTCAAGCTCAAAGCCCTCGATGGCGTTTGATTCAACATGGACCTTGTATATCTCAACAAGTTTGTCCACAATCCCATACATTTGTTCTATGACCCTCCTTTCAGTTCAGTATGGCTTCAGGTTCAGTTCTGTAAGCAAACTTGAGCTGCTGTCCAACATGATTCGAGCTTGTACTCCTCCAACTTTAGCAATTACAGTTACATGCAAGGTACACATGTTTTGAGAATCCATTGCACCATAAAACCTGTCACACCGACCTGATGACTCAGGAGTACCCTTGTGGGTGGGCGGGAGTGTCGTCTTCATCTTGTCACATACAGAGGTATGGTGTCTTCCATTACATTTGCCACACCCTCGTCCTTTACATTTGGAAGCCAGATACCCAGACCTTGCGCAGTTCTAACATAACGTTTCTTGCTAATTATCCCCGTCTACTGGCAATGTCTAAAACCTTGGTACAGTCACTGCTACGATGACTTTTTAAACACAGTAAACACAGGGAGGGGGTCTTTGCGGCTGCCGTACATTTCCTCCAGCCATAAAGTTTTTGTCTGGTTTCTTTTGGCAATTGTCTCGATTCCCAGGTACAGGGGAGCTTGGAGGGGGTAGGCTAGATTCCACCAAGGGCAGGGGGTTTCAGTCTGTGTACTTCCTCAAATTTTCATCTAGCTCCTCAAGTCCCCATTTCTCCCAGTCATCATCTTTTTGGGCCATAGCCTCCCTTATCGGACCCAATAGACCTTTTTCGCCGCTGACGTCATAAAGCTGTCACGTGGTCTCTATTGGGTAAACAAGCCCGGAAAGAACAGCACGTGGGTTTTATTTTTGGAAGCCATGGTTCATTACTGCAGTGTTTACGATTGTAAAAATAACTCAACTGATAAGGATTTCTCATTTCACGGCTTCCCGAAGGATAAAAAGCTCGTA